TGTAGCCCCTTTTTTCAGACAAGATCCCCCACAAAATCCTAGTTATTCTTTTTATAATTGGCTAAAAGTCGGGGTCAAAAAGTGACAAAAATAACCCTGCAGATCAAGTCTGCGGCCGCAGAATGCTTTCGCAGTCCGCATATCTTCAATTCCTTCGCAGAGTTGATTACCCAGTTCTCTAATTTTCCATCGCACTTCTGTTATGCGGTCCGCATATTAATTTCGCGCCCGCATATCGTACCGCAAAGTCATTTTCACAGAAACTTTTTTTTTGCATTTGTGCGATCATTATGCGGTCCGCACAAGAGTTGTGCGACCGCACAATGGATCGCAGAATCTACTCTCATAACTGGGATGGGCTGCTTCACTCTACGGTTGTTATGCGGCCCGCACATCACTTTTGCAGTTGCAAATCTGCTGTATTTCTGCTCTTCTATGGGGTTTGTCATCTTTTCCATGTTCTTGGCTCTTCAAGTCTGGTTTTCTGCAAAACACCAAAACTACATAAGAAATGACTTATAATGCTTTAATAAACGAGCTAAAGTCTATGTAATTAGTATCAAAAGTGTCGTAATTCTATGGCACATCAATAAACGCATACATGGCATATAATATAATTCTGGGAAGACCGTGGATTCACGATATGGATGTCGTCCCATCCACATTACATCAAATTATCAAATTTCCTTCACAATGGGAAATCCGTCAAATCCGTGGAGATCAGCAAACTTCAAGAAGTATCAACTCGGTGGTAGTTTCAAGCATGGCAACCAATGATGCAGATGCAAAGTAGCAACTACAGACCCCGGTTGAGGATATTGGTGCAAAGACCTCAACTGAAGGCATACCAGGACAGACTAGCGTTGATTCGAGACCTGATGTTGTTCAAGAGCCAGAAGAAAATGAAAATATTAAGACAACTGTTGAAGAACTCGAAGCTATAGTGCTATTTACACACTGGCCAGACATAAAAGTCTACGTCGGAGCAAATTTAAGCCCAGAAATGAAAGGTAAGTTAATTGAATTTTTACAAGCTAACGTAGATTGCTTTGCTTGGTCGCACTCAGATATGACAGATATACTACCGGAGGTAATGGACCACAAATTAAATGAGGACCCATCATACCCACCTGTCAAGCAGAAGAAGAGGAAGCAAGGATCCTTCAAAAATCAAGTAATCCAAGATGAGGTACAAAAGCTTATGAAAATTGGATCGATACGAGAGGTAAAGTACCCTAACTGGTCAGCTAATATTGTGGTAGTTCCTAAAAAGAATGGAAAATGGTGAGTTTGTGTAGATTATACTGATCTAAATAAAGTTTGCCCTAAAGATTCATTTTCTTTGCCACATATAGATCAACTAATCGATTCTACCGTAGGACATGAACTTTTGAGTTTTTTAGATGCATATTCAGAATATAACCAAATAAAAATGGACCCCCTAGATGAAGAAAAAACTTCGTTTATCACAGACAGGGGGACTTACTGTTATAAAGTCATGCCCTTTGGTTTAAAAAAATGCTGGAGCCACGTATCAAAGGTTAGTGACTAAAATATTTTAAGAACATTTGGGAAAAACTATGGAAGTCTACATTGACGATATGTTGGTCAAGTCAGCACAAGCGGGAGATCATCTTCAACACTTGTCATACACTTTTGAGATTCTCCGCAAATACAATATGAAGCTAAATCCAGAAAAGTGCGCTTTTGGTGTGGCTTCAGGTAAGTTTTTAGGCTTTCTCATTTCTAACAGGGGTATTGAAGTGAATCCTGCACAGATAAAAGCTATCGGGGAAATACCAGATATACTCACAAGCAAAAAAAAAGTGCAGAGATTAACAGAAAGAATAGCAGCCCTAGGGAGGTTTATATCAAAGTCATCAAAAAAGAATTTTAAATTCTTTTCAGTATTGAAAAAGCAGAATCATTTTGAATGGACTGACGAATGCCAACAAGCCCTTAAGGACCTAAAATCATATCTGTCAAATCCGCCTTTGCTAGTAAAACCAAAAGACGGTGAAAGGCTTCTCATTTATCTTGTTGTGTCAGAAGTAGCGGTAAGTGCGGTGTTGGTACGAGAAGATAAAGGTAAACAATCCCTAATTTATTATGTTAGTAAATCTTTGCTAGATGCTGAGACACGGTATCCCTATTTGGAAAAGCTTGCTTTAGCGTTAATTAAGGCATCTAGGAAGTTAAGACCTTATTTTCAATGTCATCCTATTTCGGTAATAACTGCTTTCCTCATGAGGAATATATTGCATAAACATGAATTATCAGGTAGATTAGCTAAATGGGCAATAGAACTCAGTGAGTATGATATCATATATCAGCCCATAACTGCAATAAAATTGCAGTTTTTAGCAGATTTTGTAGTGGATTTCAGCACGAATTTAGTTCTTGAAGCAGAAAAGGAACTACGGGTATTCACCGGATCTAATCCGGGGACTTGGACTTTATTTACCGATGGTTCTTCAAACGTTAAAGGAGCGGGTTTAGGAATTGTTCTAATTCCACCTTCAGGGAAAGTCATAAGACAAGCAATAAAATGTTATCCAATCACTAACAATGAGGCAGAGTACGAAGTTGTGATTGCAGGTTTGGAACTGGCACGAGAACTTGGTATAGAGCAGATTGTGATCAAAAGTGACTCGCAGATGGTTGTTAACCAGATGTAGAGGACTTACGTGGCAAGAGAAACGCCAATGCAACAATACCTGAAAAAGGTACGGGAATTACTTAGACAATTTCAGACGTAGAAGGCCATGCAAATACCCAGGGAAGAGAATGCAGAAGCAGATGCGTTGGCAAATCTCGCGTCTATCACGGATGTAACAAATGAAGAAAATGCTATCGTGATACATTTGTTTCATTTGGCACTTGACCAAGACAAGAACGAGGTAAATTTTAATAATCTAACTTGGGATTGAAGGAACGAATTTGTGAACTTTTTGTAGTATGGAATCTTACCCGAGGACAAGAAGAAGTCACAATTGCTTCGCCAAAAAGCCGCCTGGTATTGCTTATTTCGTGAAAATTTATATCGAAAGATGTTTGGCGGACCTTTAGCAAGCTGCCTCGGCTCATCGCAAACGGAGTATGTGATGAGGGAAGTACATGAGGGGCACTGCGGCAATCACGCCGGGGGAAGATCATTTGTAAAAACATTAATAAGAGCAGGGTATTATTGGCCAAAAAATAAAAGAAGAAGCAGAAATATTTGTAGCCAGGTGCGATAAATGCCAACGATATGCCAATAACATGCACCACCCAGCAAAACTGTTACATTTAGTTATTTCACCATGGCCTTTCATGAAGTGGGCATGGATATTATAGGCATGTTGCCTCAAGCTAAGGGAAAGGTACGGTTTCTGTTAGTTTTAACAGATTAATTTTCAAAATGGGTAGAGGAAGGAGCATTCAAACAGGTGCAAGAAAAAAAGTCATGGACTTTATTTGGTGAAACAGTATCTGTCGATTTGGAGTTCCAAAGGAAATCGTGTGTGACAATGGCCCGCAGTTTATAGGCACTAAAATCACAGAATTCTTTTGAAGTTGGCAAATAAAACGGATTACATCCACACCTTACCACCCTGCAACTAACGGACAAGCTGAATCAATAAACAAAGTTATCATTAATAACTTGCAGAAGAGATTGGAGGAATCAAAAGGCAAATGGCCGGAAGTGTTACCAGGGTGTTGTGGGCTTATCGATGACAACCAAAACAAGTACGGATGAGACTCCATTCTCACTTGTATATGGTGCAGAAGCTTTAATTCTGGTAGAGATAGGTGAACCAAGTATGAGATACACACATGGTACTGAGGAAGCAAATAAGGAGGAGATGCGAGTAAATTTGGATCTATTAGAAGAAAGGAGAGAAGCAGCATTAATTTGAATGGTGGCTCAAAAATAGATGATTGAGCGATATTACAACAGGATAGCTAATTTGAGATACTTCAAAATTGGGGACTTCGTCCTCAAAAAGGTGTTCCGATCGACAAAAGCGGCCAATGTGGGAAAGTTGAGTCCAAATTGGGAAGGCCCTTATAGGGTTTGAGGCATCATTGGAAAGAGAGCGTACGAGTTGGAAAACATGGATGGTAAGGTACTACCATCAAACTGGAACGCAGTTCATTTGAAGAAATATTACTTTTAGACAAGGAAAGTACCCATGGTCGGGTATCTCGCAGGTTCAATTTTGTTTTGTTCTTTTGAATTTTACTAACCATTTTAGATGATAGGAAAAAGGCTAGCACGTACAAAATGATGATATTAAACCCGAAAGACACGCGGAATACTGAATTATTTTCGGTCTAGGTTACAACCTTTCTGATGGAAAAAAGGTTATGTAGTCATCATCTAAATAAATATCTCTGAGTCCCGTTCGTATTTTCCTTTTTAGAAATGGACCAAAAGGAAGAAGTAATCCAGTGTTCGAGATTTCATGCTTCAAAGCTCCAACACTAGGGGGACTATGCATATATAAGGAAGCAAAAGAACCAAAAAGGCATACTTCAGTTCAGCCTGAATCAAAAACCTTGATGAAACCTACCTCTTGAATTTTTCAAAGGAGTATGAACTAGCGAAAAGGATGCAAGATATTACATATTCCTACGAGTTTTAGATATTATATATTCCTACGAGTTTCAGGTTAAGGTCAAAATTTAGTCACGGGATAATAGACCCGATTTTGTATTTTAAAATCTACTACAAGAAAAGCAGTTATGAAAGTGTTGTACGAGCAATTATGAAAATGATGTACGAAATTTATTTGAAAGTTCAAAACATAAAACTTTCTCAAATTATTTCTTTTCATGTCTACTTCATGTTTCATATATTTGCACTAATATGAAGATGAGATGCCATCTTCATCAGTGTCGTTAACATAAAAGGGCCCTCTTTTATAAAAACTCGGGTTAATCAAAGTCACGGATTGCTAAGGCATTTTTAAATGCAAGGAAAAGGCTCAAATGTCAAAAAACCAAAGAGCATAATATGTGGCAAAAGCAGCCAAAACATTTGTATATTAAACCTTGTAAAAATAAGGGTGCTAATTTGTCATTAAATTCTAAAAAGGAGACAGGGGTAACCAAAAACAAACCTTCCAAAAGAGTCGGTAAGCTAAGGGAAAAACAACATCAGGATGTTCCAAATAAAAGCTAAGAAAAAACAGGAGAAAGGAGAAAAATAAGGAGTATCATCAGCGGGAGAAAAATGGGTTAACTTAAGAAAAAAAAGGCTTGAACATCAGCCCTGCCAGGAACAAGTCCATCTCCATCACCTTTGGAACCTTCGTTTTCAGGTGAGGAAAAGCTTTGACGTTGCTGAGTTTATCAATTTCTTCTTTAGCCCTAGAAATATCAGCATTATGGTCAAAACCCTCTTGGTTGGCTTCAATTAGAGTCTCGAGGCGAGTGTTCAAAAAGGCCCAACTCACATCCAACGATAACTTATCCTTGAGAGCCTCATAATCCTTCTCCCACTGGTCAATCTCAGCTCTCAACTCTTCTTTCTCTGCTTCCGAGGCATCAAAAGCTAACTTCAAAGGAGCGAAAGAACTTTCCAAGAACTGAATTTTATCTGTAGAGGTGTGGAGATCTTCCTGAGCTTGGGTAAGTGTCTGAACCAACTCTCTCGCGTAAACCTCTTTTTGATTGAAGAGTTTTTTTTAACTCCTTATCTCTTCAGTTGCCTTGGAAAGTTGTTCAGCAAAAAGGGATTCCAGTATATCCTTGTCCTTTCCAACCTGACTGGAAGAGGCTTTTTCAACCGCTAACTCGGCAGAAACCATCCTCATTTGACGCTCCAAAGTTGAAGACTTTCGAATTGTTCCTTCCAGTTGTCAGCCTCGGTGCGCAACGTGTTGGTCTGCCTGAGAAACTATTTTTATAATTTCTGTACCAATCAAATTAATCTACAAAAAAGGTAAAGGAGGAAGAGTTATGAATGAGGAAGAAAGAAGAAAAGAAATATAATTAAGCTCGTACCTTCAAAGAAGAATGAACAATGTCATTCATTAAAGTCAGTGAGCTATGACTTTCTAACTTCTTCTTCTCCACGGGGCCTATCAGTGGCTTCAGCCACACGTCGGCTTGACCAGATTTTCTCAATAAGTTCCCACCTTCAGGGACCTCAATTATAACTTTTTTCATCTCTCCTACTGCTAGAAGGCTCGGCCTCTGTATGAGAAGCAGCCACGGGAGTAAAAACCGAAGTAACGTCAGGTAAAGGCACTGGGGTGATGGTAGATAAAGCTGGAAGGGGAATCAGGAGCAGTTATAAGGAATTTTTAGTCATAAATATACCAGTTACGGTTATCTATAGTAATAGGCAATCAATATAATTAATGTCCTTAATTAGTCCAAATTAAGTATGAGAACCGTTATGATTGCATGCTCTTATATAAGGATAAGAATTTCATTTGTAAGGACATGTGATGATTATTACTGAAATACATACTATAATTCTTTGCTTTATGCTTGAAAGTTTTCAGCCTTAATTTTGGGGATTGATTGCTAGTCCATTCCTTATTTTTCTTGGCTAATCATCTCCATCACTTTTTTTCTATTTTTCCTAAGATTATTGAGAAAGTGAAGTAAATTTTGATTATCAGTAACCCGTTTTCTTCTAAATGTTGACTTTGACCGAGAATTCTATTTTTGGTTAAACACTAACTAATTTGCATGCCAGAGTTATGTTGTTCATAGTAGCAGTACAAGCTCAGAAGTATACATACTTAGCGAAAAGAACAAAAGGATGAGTATACGTAACCGTTGTATAAAATACCACAAATTAGGTGGGATGACTGCATTATTACCTTTAAATAAAATGTATGATCATCTCAACATGATGGTATCCTCATATTTTCTGCCCATCTTCCCCAATCTAACCCTACTTCCATCCAAAATCAAACCTTCACTATATACTCATGTCTTCCATGACCCTTGTTGCATATCCCTATGAAGGAAAAATAATACACTAACTAACCATATAAGCGCTTTACCAAAAATCTACATTTATTTTTCTTTAGTCCTAACAGTTTTTCTTGTTTCTTACCAGCAGTGCTGAACTTCAAATAACATTAACTAAATTTGAATATGCCTTGTCAATATTGTAGGCCAACAACAATGGCCGATCTCCATAATCAAATAGAAACAGGCTGAAGAAGAAAGGGAAAAGGGAATGAAGAAGAAGAACGAAAAAATAAGGTGGCTGAACTCAACTAATTTTTCACTAAGAACTGTTTTCTATGTCGCACCTCCATTACTTTGATTTTATTTATATCAATTCCTCTCTCACTTTTTCTTTCCATTGCTAATTGAACAGAATTACTTTATTAAATACTTATTGAACATACTAACAGAATCTACTTGTTTATTTCTCATCCAGTAATAAAATGTATACTATAATTTATCTTTTAGATACCTAGTGTTGAATTTTTTTCATAAGTCAGATCGCATCCCCATTGTTTATCTCAGTCATCCTGCTTTGAAAATTTAAAGACTCCAAGTTGAAATATATGTTTCAACTGAAAGTCAAAGTCCTTATTTTTCAGCATTTAGGAGCAACATCCACATCTGTCATATTTGTGTGGGTATCAATGTCTCAGCTTCATAGCTATTAATATGGCTATCATAAAAAGTACTTTTCCATCATGGCTCAATCCAAGGTTATACGGAAGAAATTGGTCAGATCCCATAAACATGTGACATAACTCATATCATTGCTATAACCCATACTTAATACTTTTTTTAGGAAAACGAAAAAAGCAATCATATGCAGAAAAGGACTTCATCAACTCTTAAGACCAGCTATTCATGGACAGAATATGTTTAATCTATAAATAGGACAACAGAATCATATGTAAAGGAGCAAATTGTAAAGTTAAATAGAACCAAATTATGTACCTTTTAAGTTGTTGAATGATAGATTTGAATGTTGTAAAAAATCTGTTGAAAAAGAAATACAATAAAATATTATTAGTGGTTTCAAGCATATAATCAAATACCTTGAACGTGCATGATGCGGTAGTACTTAAGGTCTTTTATTTAAATCTCATGTTGCCAAAAATACAAGGAAGAATATGTAAAAGATTACAATTAAAAAATAACTTTTCGGCAAAGAAATTCTGACTGCATAATGTTTATGCGTTAATAAAGTTATAGCTAAAACCACCAAAAGTAATCTCAATTACCGTGTGTTTTGGAGATAATCTTGCAGAGCTTTTGATATTAGCAGAAACGTACTCCAAATTGCAGTACTGATCTACAGATTTATGATATCATATTTACTGTCAAATGTATAATTGAAAAGAGAAATTAAAAACAAAACTCTAAGAAAACGCGAATAAATGAGAAAAAATAAGAACAATCGGTTGGTTAATTAGGCATATTCTCAAACACCTTAGGTTCATCAGAGGGCAAACCCGATATAAGTTCTAACATGTATGTGAAATCCAGTAAGATAATGTCCGAAAGAACAAAAAAGCTACCAGATGTCCACCAAAATTTCGTTGGCAATAACAAGATGCGTTTAGAAAAAAGGCTGAATATAGAAAAGCTTACCATAGCTGAACAAAATTAAGCACATACCAGAAAAATATGGAACAAATTTATGAATTTGAAAAAAGATCCTCGACTATAGATGAATGCAAGCATGACATTTGCCAACACATGACCAAGCAAGAGGAGCAAAAGATTTAAACTTAACTCACAGGTAAGAGCAGACAGTAGAAGGAACCACGGAAGCAACCAAATCAGAAGTGTTGGTAAACTTTGTTCGAAACCAGAAAATATTATAAAGTAAAAGAGAAATAGAAATGCATAGGAAGAACAAAATTAAATATGAGCCCACTGAATTCACGGTGTATCATTAAAGAACTTAATCCCCTCCTAGTACCCGAGGTTTAAGATTATTTCCTCCCAGGATAGATAGAACGGATTATCCACACTGGTGTAGCGGTACCTCAAACTCCAGTGTTTCAGCGAACGCAATAAGGCGGAGCAAATCACACATGACACTTATATTTAATTTTGAAAAAATAATGCAAAGAAAATGGAAGAATTTCAGAATTTTTCCATATATGAAAATGAGGCTAAGCCTCTAAAATTTATAAACAATGAAAGGGTGAGATGAAGAGGTGCAATTCAAAGGGCGCCTCTTCCATTTCCCATTCACACCCATTCACGAAACCTAACAATCCCCCACATGAATGGGGAATGGCAATATGTTTAAAAAAAATATGCAAAAAAACTTGTGTGATTCGCAAGTAATGATTAATCGCATATGGATAAGTAGGTTTCCCTTTGAACTTTCCGTAGTGAACATATGTCGGATATACTCGGTCAATCGGTAGATTTGATATCTTTGAACTGTCGAGCTTTGATGTATACCTAGACAATCATAAGTCACACAATCAACCCTTAACCGTCGAATATTTATTTCAGCTATGAACATCGCCTGGTTTCATAAGTGCATAGAGAATTGGCCTTACAGAATTCTCCTTGAAGCGGCTAACACTTCACACTTACATAGGTGATTCCCAAACGTGTTATCCCGTAGATACACGATTTGATATATCCCGTATCAAACTTAGAAACCATTAAAAACCCTTAACGTTTTATCCTTGGTACTGAACATTGTCTCATCACGAGAATGGACCAAAAATTTATTTGACAATGTTAAATCGTCACAAATGACTTTGTTTGATCTCCTTGAACCTAGATCTTGGGATCTCCAGTTTTCTAGGTAGAGTTACCGCTACAGTGACTTGTCCTCGGCCAAAGTCCCATTCCCCGCGATAACCTTTCAACTACCACTCTAGTTAGGTCTTTTTTAAGTGAATCCGACACATTATCGCTTGACTTTACATAGTCAATTATGATAATTCCCCTAGAGAGTAGTTGCCTAACAGTTTTATATTTTCGTCGTATATAACAAGATTTTTTGTTATACATAATGTTCTCAACCCTTCCTATTGCCGCTTGACCATTGCAATGTATGCATATAGGTGCAAATATTTTGGGCTAAGATGGAATTTCTTCAAGAAATTTTGGAGCCATCCAACTTCTTCACCGGCCTTGTCTAAGACTATAAACTCAGCCTTCATTGTAGAGCGGCAATGCACGTTTGTTTGGACGATTTCCAAGACACTGCTCCTCCACTAATTGTAAAAATATATCCACTTGTGGATTTAGTTTAGGTTTATCCGATGATTCAATTTGCATCACTATACCCCTCAATACCCGCAGGATAGTTATTATAGTGCAATGCATAGTTATGGATATATTTTAAATATCCAAAAACTCATTTTATTGTCCTGATAGTTCAATGCGAACTTCCTTATGTCGTAGACTAATACGTCTCGACATTCTATAGCATATCAGATTATTGACTACACTTAATGTAGCAATAATGTATTATAACAACAGCATGAATGATTGGCATTAGTTGTGGCCACAACCTTTTAGTATATAACATATTTTACAATCACCCCGCTATTTTCAAGTATTTGTATGTTATTTATTCATACGTCTATATGATATGCAAATTATACCACCTCCATTCATGAAACAAATCCAACTTGCAATAGATTTTGGTCATTTTTATCAGTTGGTTCGCCTCATTATGAACCAACGTATTAATACATTCGTTCATGAACGGTCATGTTTATACAAAACATACAAACACACTTTTCATAAAAAGTCACAGCCTTTCAGGTGACACACTTTCATAAAAGAGCTAACACTATAAATGTTCAAGAAAGAACAAATCATTTCTGGAAAGGCACGTAAACAACTTTCGAATTTGTAGTTTCATCACTAGTTATCACTAAGACTGAACAAATAATGAATTCACCGACTATCATATCAATATCCACTAAGGATTGGTGGGGTTCAAAAATTATATGATTTAGACATTGTATCTAACATTGGCTTTTGTCATGCATAAGCTAAATCCCCCACATTTCAAATATTTTATCAACATATCATCCATATATAATTAAATAATGACTATATGATTTGAAGTATTCTTAACGTAAACACATTTGCTTACACTCATTAATTTCAAAACCATTTGACAATATTATTTGGTCAAATCTCGCATGTCATTGTTTGGATGCTTGTTTTAGTCTGTAAAGTGACTTAACAAGTCGACACACCTTCTTTTATTTTTCAGGAACCACGAACCCTTCAGGTTGTTCCATATAAATTTCTTCCTCCAAAACTCCATTTAAGAAGATTGTCTTTACGTCCATCTGATGGATTTCAAGGCCATACACGGTGGCTAATACTATTAACACCCGAGTAGATGTAATCCTTATTACCGGCGAGTATGTATCAAAATAATCAAGACATTCTCGTTGTCTAAATCATTTGACAACTAATCTTACCTTATATTTGTCAATATTTCAAGTTTGGTTTTCTTCCTTTTCATTTTTCATATGGAATGGATTATGTCTTGCTATGNCCAGAGGTTTTGGGTAAACCAGAACTTATCAACTAGGCATTCATCGTCTCATTTGACGTTCTATTCTTTCTTTCCGCAATTCCATTAGATTGCAGTGACTAAGGGGCGGTCTTTTGGTAAATAATTTCATATTCTAAATATATTTTTTTCAAAAGGAGATTCATATTCGACGCCCCTATTACGTTGTTGAGCCAACCACAAGAACTGTTATTTATGTCACGACAGAGCTAAAATTAATAAATGAGGAAGTTTTTAATCTTCAAACCAATCTGACATATTCATAATTAATAAACAATAAAATTTTTAATCTTCAAACCGAGTAACATCTTATACAACTAGATCTAATAAACGGTGAAGTTTTTAATTTTCAAACCGAATAATATATGAAACAATCAAATTTAATAAACGATAAAATTTTTAATCTTCAAACCGAATAATAAATTTGAGTAGAAAATTACTAAGATTTTAATCTCCAAAACGAGTATAAAGTCACTTAGACTTTAATTTCTGACAAATGAGTAGAAAGTCACGAAGACTTTAATCTCAACGAACGAGTAAAAAGTCACGCAGATTTTGATCTCGAAGCAGGAGTAGAAAATCACGAAGATTTTATTGTAGAAAATCACGAGAACTTTAATTCCCATGGTTTTTCAACTAAACTATTAAAACACTTTAAACGGGTTGATCTATTTCTCTAATCAAACACATATATGTTAATCTTTACATATATTATATTCATGATCTCAAGATACTTCAAGTATTACTGTAAGCCTAATTCATGTCTTACAACCTTGAAATATAATTTCATGCATACTAACCAACTGTATACCAACAATTCAATTTTATTTGATAAACAGAATAATAATTTTCTTTCAACAATATATTATTCTTAATCCCAACATAAAAATAAGATATATTTTGAGATCATCACATAATAAATATCTACCCTAACATTTACAAAATTAAATTTCGTAAATCACATTGGATAGAAGATTAATTGAAAAAGAGTAGAGTAAAGAAAGTAGAACCCAATTTTTATCAATTTATAAATTAATCGTGGTCTGCAATCAGGAATTCCTCTACTTTACTTCTACCACCTACATGCGCTTCAGAAAAATTCCAATAACTTTGAGATTTTGTCTACTTTTAATTTCACCATGGTTGAACACTCCAAATTGACATGAGTGCTCGATGATAATATCTTTCTAACCGTATGCTAAAGAAATCCTCTAATTGCACGAGGGAACCAAGCCTTTCTTAAAACTTAAAAGTATCACACTGTCCCTTGAAAATGTCAAGTCCTCTGAAAGCAATATGTAGTTTTCAGTTTTTCTTCTTTTCCCGTGATTTTATCTTCACTAACCTCTTCTTTTTATTGTGGCTATACTTGAATAGTCGTGTTCATCTCTAGTGTCGATCCACAATGTCGCCTACTGAGATTCAATGGCAGTCCCTTCCGCTCCAATGTGTTTTAAGACATTGAAAACACCAAAAATTCTGAACAGAAAAGGGATGTAAGAAATTCTGGATCCTACATTTACAATTATGACAAATTGCTTTGTCAATTGCTCGACATGAGGCATACAGGAACCAATCAGTGTGTAACATATCATTTCAATTCTAACATTTTCTTGTTATATCAGTAAGCAAACTTGAACTGAGGCCGAGGCATAACGAGCGCCAAACGTCCATGTAGCAGTCCATAAGATTGCATTGCCTCACCTATAGAGATATTGCCATATAACACCCAGTAGATCGAAGTAAATTCAATAATCCGTTACTTTCGTGTTCCATCTCTTGCCATGGCCACAATACCAGTAACGCCTTCAATTCTCGTAGGAACACACATATTACTTCATCAGATTATATTAAGTTCTTTAAGTTTGTTGGTAAACTGTGTTCGAAATCAGAAAATTTTATAAAGTAAAAGAGAAACATAAATGCATAGGAAGAACAAAATTAAATTCGAGCCCACTGAATTCACAGTGTATCCTTAAGGAACTTAATCCCCTCCTAATACCTGAGGTTTAGGATTATTTCCTCCCAGGATAGAACGGATTATCCACACTGGTGTAACGGTACCTCAAACCCCAGTGTTTCAGTGAATGCAATAAGGCGGAGCAAATCACACATGACACTTATATTTTATTTTGGAAAAATAATGCAAAGAAAATGGGAGAATTTAAGAATTTTTTCATATATGAAAATGAGGCTAAACCTCTAAAATTTATAAATAATGAAAGGGTGAAATGAAGAGGTGCAATTCAAAAGGTGGCTCTTCCATTTTCCATTTACGCCCATTCACGAAACCTAACAAGAAGTACAATCAGAACAAAGGACAAACAAAGTAGTTAATTTGGTTTAATCAAGTTGAAGAAGAAGAATTTTCAAAAGACATATTTTATTTTCCTGGTCATATTCTTTGTTTAGTTTTCCATTACGAAGTTAAATTTTATTTGAAGTTCTTTTTATTTATTCAAAATTTTCTCAAAAAGTTTCTAAAGGTTCGTGAAGAATAAAGAAGGGAGAAAATAAATGAAAATAGAAATCAATGTTTACTTGACATACAATTACTAACTTGTATATATTAACTAAGCTTACTTTCTAAATAACTCAAACGTAAATGAGATAAATGGAGCACACAAGGGTATTGAGAGTTAACTACTTGTAACTAGCCTCAAGTAAGCAAGATAAAGCTAATGGAGAAAAATAACTTTTTAAAATACCAAAGGAATACTTTACATTCAAGTGTTTTTTTACTACTTTTTAGAAAAATTTATTAACAAAATTAAAATTGGATGTCCTTCAAAGAGCTTTGTGTTTATTTTCATGTGCATCTTATTTTTTTCTTAATTTTACCTTAATATCCTAATAAGTTGACAATATAGAAATACATATTTGCTTCATGATTACTTTTGTACTCCAAGACTAAAAAGAAAAAACTTTGAGCTCTGTTAGTTGAATTTGAAATACACAACTAATTATAATAAATCATAAATTAATGAGTGGAAGATAAATGAACTTTGACATAATTCACATTGTTGCCAATCTAGTCAAATTAGAAGAGGGGGAGTAGAGCTTTTCCCTTTTATAATTTTATTAACTAAATTCCATAAATATTTTACAATAGACATGATATACTCACATAGATGAAACTATATGTAATCTCACAAACCGTCGCAACCAACCGTTACCCAATTTGAACAAAGAAAGAAACAAGATCGGAAAACCTGGATAAAGAGCAGTAGATGCGTTCTTTTTGGGATATACGCGTCAGAACAAACAAGGGAAACTACGGATTCCACGTGTGTTAAAAAAATATTGAAAAAGGTTGCAGTTTTCCCAAAATACCCCTGACGAGTAACGCACTGTCCCAAAATGCCCCTGATTGCAGTTTTCCCAAAATGCCCCTGACGGGTGACGACCCCAAGCTCCTCTACTGTCCCTTATTAATAAGAGGAAATTTCACTGTAATTTGATCGATCTCCACTCTCTCTCTCTCTCTCTCTCTCTGTAGAAGAAATGGAGGAGAAAAGCAGCTGCGACTGTGGTCACGAATTCAAGCTGCTGCTTCATGTCCTTCTGGTCTATCTCCTTCACAGGTTATTTACTTGTCTGTTTTCTCTCTTCGTTTTCTACATATTTATTATGCTCATTTTTGTATTCTGAATGTACTTGGGTAAAAGGTTTCAGTTGTTTTCAATGAAGCATACGACAGGATTCCCCATCCCGATTCTTCTTTGGAGCAGTCCATTTCCGAGGTTTTGTTTCTAATTCTCTTCCTTTAAATGACAATTTTGTAATTAGAAATGCTTAGAGAACATTTGAAAAAATCATAGTCTAAGAAAAAATGTTTGATTTCTAAATAGTAATGGTTTCATGTAAAATGAAGCAGAATTAATATTATGCAAATAACGCTGTTTCTTTTGTGGATTGTGAGAATCACACTTGATTAAAAAGACCAAATACCAAACTCTAATTTTTTAGGTAATTGTCTGTATGTTTAGGCTGATGGATCAAAAAGCTATAATTACTCACTTGGGGAAAAACCGGTATTTGTGCTGAATCTTTTCATTGGCGTAACGTGTTGTCATGTTGTTAGGTATGGGATGCAAGAGATCGACAAAATTCATCACTTTACGATGGGCCGAAGTTTAGGGTATGCTGCACTCTTCTTCCATTGCATTTATCATTCAATTTTTATATTGAAACATAGATAGTTTGGCTATATCTGTTCAGTCTAGAATTTTGACAATGTAGTGTTGTCACTTTGCTGGTCACAGTTGCAGCTCCATTACTTTTAAGAGAGTTTAGTTAGTCATTTATAGTTTATCAGATACACCCAAATATGATATATGCATTTTTGTGTTATTTCCTTCTCAAAAAAAAAAAATGTTAAATATACTGATACTTTTACAGTATGGAAGATACACTTTCGATGTAGGAAATGATCCCAAGCAACAGCCTCATGTTTCCCTTCAGCTTGATCTGACAGATTATAGGTTCTTCTCTATCTTGCGTCTTCTTTCTTCCTGCCTTCCTTTATTCTACATGTTTTTCCATTTAATGTGCATGTAATGGAAAACATATATCCGTCCAGTGCAATTTGGACAGGCTAATGTTACTGTCCCAAACTTATATCAGCATGTCGAAATGGTAAATTATTAATGAATTGTTCTTTATTTGTGTCGCTAAAATCTTGGGTGAAATACGAGAATTTGTGTATACCTGCAATGTGCCGTCAACACTTTAATTTTGCCATGCATTTACCCGAAAGGAAGAGCAAAAATAGGGAACAAAATAGAAAATACAAATAAAATATTCTTACACTTGGACTTTTCTGCTCAGGGCTTTGTGGGGACAAATTTAAGTCCTATTTGGGAAAGATATCTTGTTCCATCTGAAGGTAAACTTCCATGAAATACAATTGTTTGTTGAGTTGCTTCTTCCTAAGGAAACGACTGTTCCCTGCACATCTCTAATGTATCTGCTACCCTAAACTGCAATCTATTTCTTAGTATTTCTTTTAGTTTCCTTTTCTATACTCTTTCGCTTTCCAACATAAGGTCTGCAGCTAATTTGATATCTTATGAATTCTAAGAGAGATATGTTACAAGGTTCTTATGTGATGCAGAACTGCATATAACATTGCACAGAGCAGGCACTTCAAGTATATGAAAAGGGATGAAAATATTTCTGACTGATGTTCCAGCTTGCGAGACTACAATTCGTTTGTGCTAAAAAATGTGACTTGGTTTTCTGCAGATGATTGCATACAGTGGCAACACACATCAAGTCCTCTGGGTAATGGTGCAGTTGTAGAGACTTCTGATAAGAAAATACTTGTGCTTCAGAGAATTAATAAAGTTGGAGAATTCCCAGGATATTTTGTTTTTCCTGGAGGCCATCCAGAGGTATCTCATCTCATGTTGTAAGGACACCTTTGAGATAATGGCAACAAAATTCTGATAAATATAATCTTTCGCAACTCAAAATGGGAGAGCAAAAATGGTTGTAACCCAGCAAGCTACTCAAAACCTTTCATATTTAATAACGTGTGAGCTATGGCAGCAAAAAGCAACTGCCATATTTCCGTTTGTCAATTGGTTCACCATTTAGACCTTTAGCTAAACAGTGTTTATAAGTTGGGTAACTTGTTATTCTATATTTCATTAAATTCACCTGTTTATAATGTAACTACCAATTTGTGTGACCTTATCTGACATTGCTTTCTGCAATTGTAAGCTTTGTTCTAGGTTTATTTAATTAGAAGATCACCTAAGGGATTTCGAATGTCTGACTGCTTTCATGCAAAGCACTCTTCTTTTGCATCAAGATTAAGCTGTGGAATCTTTGTTACTTCACTGCCCAAATATGTCCGGATAATAAGCAATGCATGGCATGATTGTATTTATGCTTTTAACAGCCCCAAGAAGTTGGAATAATCTCCCATGACGGCTTCCAAGAGCTGAATCAAGGTCGCACAATTAACAGCAAAGTTTCTCAAGAAATGTTTGACAGCATTGTCTGTGAAGTTGTTGAAGAAACTGGAGCTCCTGCAAATAGCCTTGTAAGTGATGATTTGTGTTACTCTAATCGCCTTCTTTCTTTCTTCTATAGCCTTTCCAAATCCAATTTGTTATATAAATTAACACCACAAAATTGGGATTGTCAGCTCCTATCTAAACTTTCCACTTCGCACTGCTCTATATAAGTATATAATTCCTGTACGCTCAAAACATTTTGGGTAGCAGACAAGTGAAATGGGTCAACTTTGTAATCTGGAAGGAGAAGAAGGACCTTGATAAGCAATAGCGCAGACTGGATAAATATAATGTCTAATCAACATTGTATCAGGGCTCAGCCTGATTTTCATTCTGGGTTTTTTATACCAAATAGCACAATCACGTCGAATCTTGAGAATTATCATGCTTGTTGTGTTGTCGATTTGTTGTATACAAAGGTCATTTAACTGTACCTACATTTTTTTTCTTCTCTTTCCTTTTGTGGCCCTAATAGGAAAATATGACCGTTTATTTCGAGTAATGCGTTCTTATTTCTCAATTCATTTGTCAGCTATAACATTAAGATTTAGCTCAAAACTGTAATCAAATAATTCACCAAGATTATTAAATGTACTACTGTAATCAATTGTAGTATACATAATGTAGGACACGTTGATTGTCAGGTACAAAATAAAGTTGCATTTGGAAGCTGATCATTGGAGACTGGTGACTAATTATGAATATGACTGTCTGCAACTCTTGAGGGGGCTGTTTTTACATGCACCCTTAGATTGTTGTTTCCTTTCTGATAAGATTGCATCATTTTAGGATTCATATTTGTAGAAGACACCTAACTCTTGTTCTTTATTCTTTATCTTTGATGTATTATCAGTCCAGCCCCATCTTTATTGGTATATCCCGAAGAGTATTGAATGTTAGGCCAACTGCTTTTTTCTTCATCAAATGCAATCTTCAGTCGGATGAAATTCAACAATTGTATTCTAGCGTACAAAATGGCTTCGTGTCAACTCAGCTTTATGCTGTTTCAATGGTTAGTTTTACAAATTGTTAAAGTAGTTCTAGTGACTTGTCTTATAAATTAATTTTTGCTCAGTTGCCATATGGATCCACTTTTGCTGAGCTCTGTGGAATCTATGGCTTAGCCTTGCGGGAGTCCCATGTGGAGGGAAAGGGACCATCTAGCATGAGGTTGTGGTCTAACACACAATGCTAGCAATGTAATGCAACTAAAATTGTCGTAGCAAGGCATGTAAGTGCTACAAGAGTTGGTTAAAATTGGAGCCAATTGAAGCTAGTCGGTTAAATTTGGAGTCTGAATTTAATAATTAATTTTGGATTATCTGTTTTATTTGAGATTCCTTCTGGAATTTTAGCATTAGCGTCATCTTGGCAACTGTACAGAACTCCAGTCGTTCATAGAACATTCTGAAAATGTCTGATTCATCCCAATGTTATTGGGATTTTCTATTTTGAATTTCTCGATAAATACACTAATGGTACAACAAGCAGAGGCGGAGCTAGGATTTGATGTGTGGGTTCAAAATTTTAAAATAAAACACTGCTTTCATAGGGAATTGAACCCCCGTCTTTCCCGGTGAACCCACAACCCTTACCATTGAACCAAGGCCTCTTTTGTTACTAGGTGCGGCAGTATATATTTTTATAGATTTAGTATATATTTCAATACTAAATCAAGGTCTTTCCCGGTGAACCCACAACCCTTACCATTGAACCAAGGCCTCTTTTGTTACTAGGTTCGGCAATATATATTTATATAGATTTAGTATATATTTCAATACAAATACAGGATTCCGGAAAAAGTCACTGGGTTCGCCCGAACCCGCACCCACTACTGTAGCTCCGCCCCTGGGTACAAGGAAGTTTATTTCTGAGTTGGTGTACTAAATCTTTGGAATCAGAAAAAAATCTAGTCTATAAATCATATTATGCTTCTTTCTAATTAATTAGAGTTCTGTCTATATTTTTCTCAGAATCTTTTGTTTATTATGAGTTGCGTGATGCAACTATAGCACTAGCTGTTGTGCCTGAGAGTAATAAAAAGTGATAATTGCAAATCTATCCTATGGTTCTGTCTTACAGCTTCACAACATCAGTGATGCTTGTTCCTTGTTCCTGGCATGGCATCTTATTCTAAGCATCACCGAAACCCTTAAGATCCTTCTAGCCAAATAATCCTCCAACCTTTTCAGCTTGAAATTGCATAAAATCAACCTTAGAGGTATCTCCTTTCTGTCCTACCTGGGGCCATTTAGCAGCGTTCAGACTTGTCATGTGAAATTGAGTTTGAGCATTTCTAAGGCTCTTTTTTCATGTGCTGGACTACTTTATTTTATTTTTGGGTTCTTTCCTTTCTTGCATTTGATACTCTCTAATCTGTTGGACATTGCGGGCATCACCATTTCAAGACTGCTGATGATAGGTCTATATTATATTTAGCAATGATCCGTTGTTTAAGTATGTGTTGCTAAAAGTAGTTCGAGAGGTAGTTTTGCTTCTTCATCCATAAAAGAAAGGTTCATATTGCTTTAAACAGTTTATCTATGACTTGCAATTATTAATTTCACATGTTTCCTTTTTTGTCAGAGTGATTTGGAGAACACGGCTTCTAAAATGCCCGGCTGCCACAGAGGAGGCTTTGCACTCTACAAATTAATGGTACAAGGCGCAAATGGTAGCTAATATCTCCATAGGGTCGAATGAGGATCTTGCAGCCTTTTTATCTCTTGTATGCCTGATTTATTGACTTTAGTCCTTGGTGCGCAATCCCATGCTATTCCATTGACCAGAAGAGAACTTTCCATGTAAATGAGCTCGCTTGCCGATATGCGATTTAGAGCCCGTTTGGATTGGCTTAAAAAAAGTAGTTTTTTCAGCAGAAATAACTTTTAAGCCAAAAAGTAATAAGTTGGGGTGCCCAGCTTACTGCTTTTCGCTTGTTTTAAGTAATTTTTAATTTTGTCAAACACTGAAAAAAGCTAGAAAGAGCTTAAAAGTCAATCCAAACACCCACTTAGTCATATTGAACCACAAGTTTGCTTCTTTACTTTACTATGTATTGAGCTGTATCAGTTTTATTTTTGTCACTTCTGGATTTATTCAATAATTGCCTTGCATCGTATAGCTTG